GAACTTTACTGACAAAAAAGTAGTGGCAGATAGATATTAGAATGCGAACCCACAACATAACTGCCTTGGGCTCAATGTCTACTGAATGAGTATTTTGAGCCATTTTCCATACTTTTTTGACACTTAAATGCAATTTCTTAAAAAGTTGTCCAAGAAAATTACATTTCTTGAGTTTTATTAGTCTCTTATTCAACTCTTTTTCACAACTAATGGTGTAGGTATAATTAAATACATTCTTTTCTACTAACTTTCCATTACAAGGCAAAGTGTCGGACGTGCAATAAAATTCAACTGACTCACTTGTCCCATCATCATGCTGGGATCCATCATCTGCGGAGCCATCATGGGGTTCATACCCATCACGTTGACAGGGTAGCCGACCGGTCCCATCATGCCTCCCCACACTGCTCCGCCAGCTGTGTTGGCGGTGGAGGTAGTCTCCTGGAGGCCTGGCGGAGACATTGAGTCTCCCGCGTCCCTCTCACGACCATCGCGGCTGCTACCGTTGGTGCCCGAGTCTCGGTCATCCCTTCAAACAATTGATGTTGATTACAAACCGTCACCTTCGACTGTTCAATGATCAAAGTATAAAATAAATAGAAAATATAATTTTGTCCAGTAGCTACATCTGTGAATGAATCATTCAACTTTGTTCTATTTGGGTGAAACATTTGCTACTACTGGTCCATATAGATGGGATACAATTACTTTAGAATCCAAAAGTTAATGATATAAGTCAATAAACATAAATTAAAATTATTAAAACATTCCTCTATAATAGTCGATGCCGTTACACTCTCCACTATTCAGGAACCTTACCAAACCCTCGTCTAAACTGAACAAATCATGACCAGGAGAAGTGAATGCAAACAAAAAAGGAATATATTTACAACCACAAGCAATGTTTACAACATTTAACATTACAACACTAAACTAAAGGCCTGCTGCATTTCGACATGCCGTATTGAGCGTCGTGAAGGGACTTAGGCCTACAGCAGAACTTCACTAGGTAATTTAATTTGTAAGATTACTCGCATCTGTAAGGTTACTCTTACTTGAAATCCTTGTCATAGTCTCTAATTATTTTTAAATTCTTATTCTCACCTGCGATCCCTATCTCTATCTCGGTCTCTTCTCTCTCTGGTACGATCTCTCTCTCTAGTTCTATCTCTATCTCTGTCTCTACGACTCTCTCTATCCTGGTTGTCTCTACTGCTGTTCCTTTCTCTCTCTCTTTCTGCCAAAGCTTTTAGCTGTTCTCTTTCAAGGTCTTCCCCTGCAAAGAATTTCTTTGTTTTAATTGAGACTAAACCCCGCTATGAATCAGTTTGTTAGACCCTAAATTAAAGAACTACAATCTAAGTTAATATGGTTCAGTTGAATACTCAGGATATCTGATATCTGATTTCTCGTGCTACATGTACGAGTAAAATAGTGGTGGAATTATTTTTGGGTTTTTATAAACATTTATTAATTTTGATGATTTATTTTTGACATCTATAAAAACTAACATTTAATTTCAAATTTCAATGAAGATCTTTCAGCTATAATATTCATAGGTTCTAAATACAAAAGAGTGTTACTGGAAATTCACATTACGTATTGCACTAAGTATAGGTCTAATGGAAAACGCATAAACTAACCTGACAGAGGCATCGGAGGTTTATTTTTGCTCGTGTTGAACTCTAGCGGGGCATCGTTGAGGCCAGGAGCCATATTACCCATCATGCCTTGCGGGAAACCCTGTGGTCCGATCATTGGACCCATCATCATGGGACCACCCATCATTTGGCCTCCTCCTAGACATTTAACACCTTGTCATTCAAGCTCAAACAAACAGAAGTAAGCTTTGTATGATTAGAAAATTGTTCTGCTATTTTGTATTCTGGACCTTTTCTGTTCTACAAATTTCATGTTGGCTTAGTTAACTTGGGTTAAAACCAAAACATAAACTAAAACTTCAATTAATTGTTTAGGCATTGTTACATAAAACTTATATAGGTCTGGAGGTAGTAGGCCTACTGTAGTGGTGGTAGTAGGGCCTACTAGTGGTAATAAGTTATGTCAGTATGGTACACTTAATTCACTATTTTGGACATTTTCGGATATTTTATGTAGGCTTAGGCCTAAATAATTAATGGAGTCTGATCAAAGTTTGACCATCCATTGGAGATGTAACTTTACAATAAACCATGTGATAGTTTTATGTCAGCCTATTTAAAAATGTAGGCCTAGGCGCATCATATACAACACACGCTTAAATGTGCCATGCTGACCTTGTTGCGGACCCATCATAGGCATCTGCATCGGAGGTCCCATGGGTGGTGGGGGTGGTGGGGGATCTGAAAACAATACCAATGTAAATATTCCACCAAAAACAAACTTTTTTTAATGATGTTTAACTACCATGGGACCAAATTCCAATGCTTAGAAAAAACAAAGACCGTTTTTTAGGTGTATCTTTACCCTAGGTCGAATACTATTCATTGATTGACCTATCCTACACAATCACTTCAGGAAAGATAGAGTAAAATCAAAGCAGTCCCTAATTGAGATAGCCTATAAAAACTTAGGCCCAAGGCCCAAGTAAAATTACAGCGGCTGCACTTTACTTGACGTCCTACACTCATTCGAATGAAAATATCGATTGATATATCGATTAATCGATTGCTTCATTCGATATATCGTTTGGTTAGTTAGGTAAGGTTAACCTAACCTAACTAACCAAACGATATATCGAATGAAACAATCAATGAAAATATCGAATCGAAAAAAAACTTACATTTTACAAAGCGATACACAAGACCTAGGTTCTATGCAAAAACAATGTTTAATACGTAACATTAATTAATGAAAGGGTAAATTGATTGTCTACTTACTTAGAGGTAAAGGTGGGTTGCCAGGGTAGTTGAATGACATGTTCCAAGTTTATAAAATCATAAGAACTATTATTATGCTAGGTTATAGGTGATCAAAACCTAATATTTGAACGGTACTATTTTAGTCTATTCAATGATGAACCAGTTCTGAACAAAACCAACACCTACTCTAAATCCGATTAAAAGTTATCAAAGGCGAAAATAGAACATGAACAAATACCTCACCAGGACAACAAATAATAAAAAAAACATATAAGTTAATCCAAAACTGGTCTCCAAGCAAAGAAAGGAGTATGATGGATGAGAGGAGAGATGATGGCTGTCTGCAGGTCTGGCTGAAGGTTGGGTTGAAGCAGAAGCACAAGCAGACAGAGACAGCTAGCAGACAGGGAGTAGACTAGAAGCAGAATAGCAGATTCACGCAATACGCAATAACTTAGGACAGACTCGAGCGACACAGACCGACAGACCTTTTCGAAACGTTGATTATAAAATCTATTTGTGTTATACTGAAAATATAAATTAGAATTTTTTTCCTATCACAGTTTTCATTTTTATCAGTCTTTTCATGCACTGTTTTAAGTAATGGAAACCATAAAAAATACATTATTATGTTTCAAACAAAATGCTGAACAAAAAACCATTGCATACAGTGTACATACAAACATACTCGTACGAAAATTTAAATATTCGGTATTGTAGATTCGAAATTTAAGATTTATTTCGGCCATTAAGTTATTGAACTAAAAATAATATTTCAGTCTTTTCCTGAAAAAGAATAAAACATATAAAATAATCCACTGTAAACCAAACAACACTACTTCTGTCAAAACTTCACACAGCAAACCATGCAAAATATAATTGTCAAACAAACATACCTTTCAGTAGACGTACATGACTTATTAAGTATTTAAGTTGGGAACGGACAATACCAGGGAGGGCATTGAAAAGCTTATACCTGTAACAGGAAAACAGTTTTGGGATTTACTTAATCTATTACTACTTGTACATTTGAGCGATTTCTGGTCATGTAAGAGTGAACATCCTAATTATATACAATATCAGCCTCCATATCTTTAATTAATTGCTATCAAACATTGATATATGTACACATTGACTACAGTCTTGATCCGAAGTTCTCTAAATACAGGTTTGTAATGCTCTATGAGGCTGACACATGACTCGAATCGCTCTTTTCTGAAGTAACAACACTTTCATAGCATGTGGGGAGTGACCCCAGAGCCGAGTACCATAGACAACATGTGCCTGAAAGAAAGAGAAAAAAAGCCAGCCTCAAGAAATGAAATGGCAATTCATGAGACTATTAGCTGGCCATATGATACCGTGTATATTCTCTTCATTTTTTTCATTTTATATATCTATATTTTTAGGAGATGTATTGTCAATGGTAAGTTGTTGATGTAACATCACTTCGCAGAGAGCATGTCTTCAGTCTCGTTGACGTCAATCGTCAAACGTGATTGCGGCACTAACCGTGAACAAATCTTGTAGTTTCGTGTTTCGTCAACAGCTGTGATTGTCCACCGCGATTTCGGCAACACCTGTGATCGCCCTTTCGGTTTACCGAACACACTCGGCCTTTTTGCCCCAGCCCCAGACAGGAAACAAGTACGATATATCCCCAGGAGTTGGTTATGCCGAGGTTGTATAATAATAATATGAGGGACTTTTATGATAGTTATTAGCTCGTAAGGATTATAATCGTATAAGTCTTAATCCTTTATAATCGTTAGTTTAGTTAAGTTTTCTGTAAGACCTCATGCAAGTATACTTTTACGGCAACAAAACCAGAAAGAAAAAAAAATTGGCGGGAGTTTGGACTGAGAAGTCGAAGTCAATCAAAACAATTTGTTGTTGATGGTTTTTTGTTTTTTGGTTTTCTAAATGTCAAACTGATATTAAGATTCAGACTAGAGGTTATTTTGTTACCAATTTGATACTTTTTTGATAATGTTTGTTAAAGTAACTTACAAACAAGTTTTTTAGTTGAACTCGGCAAAATTAATGTTATTGGTTGATCTTTTAGGTATACCCATACCTTTGTGATAACATACTTGTAGCTGAAGTAGGATCTAGGATCCTGCTACTACTGCTATCCAATCCAGTGTTGTCTTATGGTGGAATTTTAACCAAACAGTAACTTTTGAACTTATTAAAATGACAGCTACATCTTCTGGTGATTTTAAAAGTTAGTATAGACTACTGTAGCCTATACAAATTCTAGGCTAGGCTAGTTGAGTTTTATACCATCCTTTACAGACTTAGGCACAGGCTAGTATTAGTACTGAATTTCAGTGGGTTAAAGTAAGGTGACTGACAATACCTGTCAAACAAAAATTTGTACTTTTATTTGCCATTTACTAAGTTATTAATATCGAAAGTAATCAGAACCAGGCGAGGAGTTTTAAAGACCACGAATAAGGACGTTTTTAGACTTAGAACGTTTGAATGTCATTTAAGATCCCTATATCTGATGTAGGCTAGCAGAATAAGTTAAGCATTCCATTTCTGGTCCAAGAGGAATACAAGTACGATTGGTTTAGTGTACTCAAGACATGCCTGAATATATGCAATTATTTAGCCTATATTTTTCCAGAGCTGTTCAAGAACTACGCCTTAAACCATCATGAAGAGGAATTGTTAAGGATTATGAAAATCAAAGATGATACCCGGCATGTGTCAGTCACGGTGAAGTAAGTTAAGCTGTGTTAATGTTTTATTAATTGCGTAATTCAGTAGGTCTTGTAGGAGTACAGTTTTGTGGTTGACTAAGGTTGGCACATTCAACTATTTTGTTTGGCTATATTATATCTTGTGTTTACATATTTTCTGTAAGTTATACCGTAACCTCGCTATGCCATCTAAATGACCTTTGTAACTTATTTGTTTTTTAGTGAGTTTCCCATAGCCTATAGGGAAAAAGCTATTACCGTAGTAACTCATGGTAAGACCTGGACTCGGGACCGATTTACTATTTCCTTTTTCTTGCACGATAACTCAAGCAAAATTGATCCGATTTTGATGAAATTTGGTATAAACGTGTAAACCTACATTTATTTGAACAAGTTCGAGAACCAGCATGATCTGACTACCCATGGAAACGGGGGTTTTATGGGGTAAAAATTAGTTTTTTCCCATTTTTGACCCTAAAAACATAAAATTTAGCAATTTCTTGCATAACTGTTTTGTGGAGCTTAAAAAACCAAAGTTATTAAGTTAAATATGCAGGTAATGGTTGAGGAGAAAATTCTAAAAAATTGTAAATTTAAAAATTCCTCTGTTATTCTTATGGAGAATAAGTAATTGTAGTTTGCTTGTTTATGAACATATTTTAATCAAATTTGGAAGATGAATTTATTTCTTACTAAACTATTAATATAAAAAACCAACCTAAGTACTAGTTGTTAAACCAATTCTATTTAGGGAATAAATGTGATATTTTTAAGGTGACATTTTGGTGTAAATCCAATCAGGCAAATGGAAATTCGCTTATTCTGCAGGTTTGCTGTGGCAAGGGTAATTTTTGTTAATCCGTATTTTCACCTGTTAAACCCTGATTATCACTCGGAAGACCAAGGTCCATCAGACTCAATTATTGCAAAAAATGTCTTATCGTTATGTTATTTTAATCTACATTTTCTCTCTAGTTTTGTCACATTATTCGAGACCAGCACGGAACTTGGGGATGGAATTCTATCCAGACCTTCAACTGTGTTGCCAATCTGTGACCGAGCGCTCGTCTTAGCTCAAACAGAACTTAGGGAGCGGCAAGATGACAAAGACTCACTCATTGTCAAGAGCAAAGTCCACGCCAGGATGACTGGTAAGAACTTGTATTGAAATAATCTTCGTAGTACAAATAGAACTAGACTCCAACTATGCTGTACAACAGTTTTATTATGTGTGTTTACATTATTGTCAACAGAGCTATTAGAATAAGTAATTCGAGTTGACGTTAGCTAGTCTCAAGACCAGTGTTTGAACGTTTTTCTTACAAAAAACGTATAAAGTTCCACTGGCGTGTAAAAAGTATGTTAATATCAGGTATTTATTATTTTGTTATAATTTCACAAAATGCCTACTTGAAAATAAGTAAAGAATAAGCCTAGTTGTTTTATCTGCTATTACCTAATACATATATCTGTAACTATTCTCGCTACAGGAATTGTATTAATACAAATTAAGAACTACCGGTACTATTTTAAATACTAGTATATTTAATTCAAATGAGAAAAAATTACAAACATATTTTTAAGAGTTTCATTGTAACATTAATTCTGCAATGTTTAAAAACACAAACTAGGCCTAACCCTACCTCTCTGCCAAAACTTCACCCTTTGCTTGGCATGCAAGTTGTACTGGCAATGTAATTAACTCACAGAATTGTTTTAACAAAAAAGGCAACCTATACATAGTCTTTAAGTCCGCAATGGGTTAAAACTTCTCAAAATTCATCTATTGTTTCGTCATATTTTGCTGGCAGTTTGCTGTTTATTTTCCTATTGTTGGTAGCCCTGCCAGTTTGTCCGGAGCTTCACAGGACAGTGTTCCCCAAAGGGGAGGACGTCGGGTCTTTCCTACGAGTGGTGGGAACTGTCGTCCGCACAGCGGCTCCAAAGATGCTGGAGTTTCAACGGACTTACATCTGCGCCAAGTGCAAACATCAGACTAATGTTAAGGTACTTGAATGTTACTTACTATCATAACGATTAACTAAACAGTGACACCAGGCGACATACTTAAACCTAGATATAAGTGAAATATAGAATGAATGGAATTAGGAGCCTTAGTTTTGTTACTAAATTAGATCAGTTGATTCTTACAGCTAAAAAATTTATTTAAAGCCCAATTATCAAGGACAGCGGATCTAGTTTTGAGTCATAAAAAAGCTTCTGACTTTTTCAGGATGGAATCTGCTAAACGGGACCGAGACTACCTTGGATAATAAAAAAACTCAGATAACACGGCAGTAAAATTTATAACTGGTGGAACTGCATTTTCCAATACTATCAATACTTTGGACCTGGGACAAAATTGAAAAAAAAAACTGCTATATTGGCTGCAGTACTGTATTTGCTCTATTCTTGTAAGTCTGGATTTTTCGTAATCCGGACCGAACCTCCGCCACATTAGTCCGGATGAGCTAGAGTCTACTGTATTTACAAATACTAAGCTGATAAAGTTACTATTACCATTAACATAACAATTTTTTATTTCCAAGAAGTCTATATGGAAATAGTGTTTACTTTTTTTACCTTGTGCATACGTAATCCAGGGTAACTACACAATAGAATTAAAAATTGTTTGATAGGTAGATTGGTTGGTTGAAACTAATAAAAGTACAAAATTATTCCTAAACTCTGTGCAACTGTTACTGAGCCAACCAGCTTAATTCAACCTAGGCTACATAGACCTATCTTTTAGATAGTGCTGTTTTGAAGAGTAATTGCAAAGAATTCAATGAACCATTGTATTGATAAGGATATCAGATGTCAAAAGGGAATCACACAAAAGTTATCTGTATACTCGTAGATTGAACATACTCTGCTATAGCTATCGTCCCTATGGATCAGATATACAAAATTTTAAGATATGATTAGGCCTATATAAGTGCTCTGGAGAATAAGAGACTTCGGTCCATGAGGTCCCGTTTCAAATCTTGCCAATGGATTTTATCTAAATTTTTATACTGCATCCTCTAGACATAATCTGAAGTAATGTGATAAACAACAACAGGCTAGAAGGGAGCGGGGGAAAAATGTATAAACTGAATGTCACAGGCAGATTACGAGAAGTATTACGTGATTTCTGCGCCTAGCGGTTGTGGCAACCCTGAAGGCTGCAAGAGTACCACCTTAACAGCAGTGAAATCCATGGACCACTTCAGCTACAAAGACTATCAAGAAATAAAAATTCAGGTAATAATTATGAAGGGGTAACATGCATTTTGTTTGAAAATGAAACAACAAAAATAATTTTTAGTTTGTGATATGATAAAGCTTGTTAAATAATCAATACACTTGAATGTGGCTAACATTGGTTAACATACATCAATTAAATGATACTTAATTACTTACTTGTACTTGTTGTCTTGATCTTTGACTGAAGTTTCTCGGAGATTGCTTCATTATGACTAAAATAGGCTACTTAAAAAATAGTTTTGACATCATAAGATGTGGAATTGCCCCTGAACTGGTTTATAACTAATATAATGGTTTAATTAACTTCAGTCTCCAGTTCAAAGTAAGTCGATTGCGACCTAGGTTTCAGCACGACGTTGTGCTATCATCAGGCTTCCAGTCAAAAATGTTCAGTCCATTGGACGTCGTTTAGTAAAAACTATATACAGTTCACAAGACACAAACACATACACATTTACCGATCGGTATTTACAAGGGGAGAACGAGTACATTTTTGTCAAATCACCGGCCGCGACGAGTGACATCCAAGCCACAACTAGCTAGATAATTCTTGTGGTCTACCTGACCTTTGTCCTTTGTATTGTCTTGATCCTTGGATAATAGGATGCGTTAGTGTCGCTTGGGTCTCGATTATTTTGTTGAAAATTAAATTGGAGCTGTGGTGGATTTGATCGTTCATTAAGTTGTCAGTATCTTGTTTTAATGACTTGTAGATGAGAAACTCTTCTAATGTATATAATAAAAAGCCTTTTTTGCAATAGCTGAGAATGGTAACATTTTCCTCCAATTTCCCCGCTCTATGGTCGTTTTCGATCATGTGTTGGGCGAATGTAGATTTTTGTTGGATAAGTCGGGGGTTTGGTTTGTGTTCTTTCAACCGGGTTGTCGGTCATAGAGCGGGGAAATTGGACGAAAATGTTACCATTCTCAGCTATTGCAAAAAAGGCTTTTTATTAGATACATTAGAAGAGTTTCTCATCTACAAGTCATTAAAACAAGATGCTGACAACTTAATGAACGATCAAATCCACCACAGCTCCAATTTAATTTTCAACAAAATAATCGAGACCCAAGCGACACTGACGCATCCTATTAACCAAGGATCAAGACAATACAAAGGACAAAGGTCAGGTAGACCACAAGAATTATCTAGCTAGTTGTGGCTTGGATGTCACTCGTTGCGGCCGGTGATTTGACAAAAATGTACTCGTTCTCCCCTTGTAAGTACCGATCGGTAAATGTGTATGTGTTTGTGTCTTGTGAAGTGTATATAGTTTTTACTAAACGACGTCCAATGGACTGAACATTTTCGACTGGAAGCCTGATGATAGCACAACGTCGTGCTGAAACCTAGGTCGCAATCAACTTACTTTGAACTGGAGACTGAAGGTAATTAAACCATTATATTACTTACAAAACTTTACTATACAAAATTTGAAATACTTTAAAATATTTTAGGCTGTCGTATGCAAGTCCGTGGTTAATTTCAGCCTGGAATTAATGGATCGGAGGACAATTCTTCAAGATTGTACAGGGTTTGTGAGCAAGTTAAGGAATTAGTCCATCCAGGGAGTTGAAAAGACTTGAATTTAACATGACGAACAATAAATGTCCAACTTTATCTCATGTCTGTTTGATAGGAGCAAGTGGGCAAGCTGGGGATGGGGACGATCCCTCGGTCCATGTGGGTCACGCTGGAGGACGACCTGGTAGACTCTTGCAAACCTGGGGACGATGTAGTGATATGGTATGTACCAACTGATCTGTGTGGTACCATTGCAGTACAAGTTATTTGGGAAAGACAGTGTGGTCTTGACTTATAAGGTAGTTCTGCGGGAGTCTCACAAATAACAAGACAAGAGTCATTTTGAATCAATCTCATAACAACGGTGAAGGTTGTGGAATGACAACGTAAAATGTTGCTGTGGTTGTGGTAAATGTTAACGATCAGTTAAATGTTATAATTTTCTTTGATAATTAGGGTTGCATCCTAAAAATATACAAGTCTTGTTGTTATGTGGTTAAAACCCCATGATTTGTATACTTTTTTATCACTATGCACTAATTGACCAGGACCTGGACAAAAGTTAATGACTTTAAAATCTCATTTTGTTATTCTAATTGCTACCTCTATGGATATCTGGTGAATTTGGCATTCAATCTTTTGCATTGAATATGCAACTCGTTTGTACTATAATTGCTTTAAGTACACCTTAATTGTTATCAACAATTTTACAATTTAACCTTACTGCTATGTTGTTTCATCTTGCTCACCCGTATAAAAACTCAAGAAACAAAATAATTTAATCACATTCTGCCCCAAAGTCAAAATTGGTGTCCTGCATGTCTCTAATATTTAGAACCAGTACTATTTCCTACCTACTCCTGGTCTAACTTACCAGCTCTATTTTTGAGCTACAGAACCGTATTATGTTGGGTACAGTGTTCATACAGTGGAGAATTTGTTTCTACAAAGTGCATCTCAGAGATGTAATTTAATTATCAGTTGGTTTCAGCGGCACAGTGTTGCGACGGTGGAAGCCACTGAACTTCGGAGCACGATGTGACATCGAGATGGTTCTCTCGGCCAATCAGCTGGAGGTATGCAACGACCAAAGATCCAATGTCCTTATCACCCAGGACGTGAGAGACGCCTTTGCGGCTTACTGGCAAGACAACTCCCACAGGCCTCTGCAAGCTAGGAATCTCATCCTGGCATCCATGTGTCCTCAGGTTCGTTGAAGGAAGGGTTTAAATTTTATTAGTCAGGATATTGATCAATTATATGAATATTCATTGATATGATATGATATGATAAGATTGATTGATATGAATATATATATGAATATTGATTAGGTTGTTTTTTACACTATTTTTGTTTTTCTAAGAAGTATGTTTACACATGTTGCAAGAGGGAAAAAGCTGTTTCAGGTGCATGGACTGTACCTAGTGAAGCTGTCTGTGGCCCTGGCACTGGCTGGAGGTGTAGGCAGACAGGAGGGAGAGGAGGGCTCTAGACTGAGGGGAGAGTCTCACATGTTACTAGTGGGAGATCCTGGTACCGGCAAGTCTCACATTCTCAATTTCGCCGCCAGAATGTGCCCACGTAGTGTGCTCACGACGGGAATCGGATCTACTTCCGCAGGTCTCACTGTCACAGCTGTTAGAGTGAGTATCTTGCTTGATCCTCTGTAGATACGTATACTTATATTTATACTTCCGATGGCGATAATCCCACTTATGGATTTCCAGCCATGGTCGTAAAAGGTATTCTCGGTATAGGGCCTATTTTTTCTTATTCTCCTAAAAATTCTTCTAATTTGTTGTAGGCTTTTACAGTAGTAGGCTTGTGTATCAACTTATTTTAAATTTGCATTAAATTTTTTTCAGTGGCCTTTACTGATTGCACACTCCATTACAAACATATGGGTATAATAAAACCACAACTGTTCATTAAAACCCTCTACTTGAAGGAATAAAACCTGCTAAATTAAAATATTAAAACGAAACATTATTGTCAGTTTAAGAATTTAAATTTAATAGAGTTTTCAAATCTCTTGGCAAATTTTTTCAGTACTATAGCAAAAGTAGTTGGTTAGTTTTCATTAACTCTTATTCTATTTTAATCTGAGCTTTCCATTCAGTTATTTTTTAAACTTATCCATGTGTAAAAAAGGTCCTTCTTAATGTGGAGATTTGGATGTAATCAATTTTTTAGTGAACTTGTCTTCTAGGAAGATGGTGAATGGCAGTTGGAGGCAGGAGCATTAGTGTTGTCAGATGGCGGGATTTGTTGCATTGATGAGTTCAACTCTATCAGAGAACATGATCGAACTTCTATACACGAAGCGATGGAACAACAAACTATCAGTGTAGCTAAGGTAACGAATCAGATCTATTAGAACAATCAGTGTGCCTGAGCTAACAAATCAGAGCTATTAGAACAATCAGTCTGGCTTAGGTAACGAATCAGATCTATTAGAACAATCTGTGTGCCTGAGCTAACAAATCAGAGCTATTAGAACAATCAGTGTGCCTGAGCTAACAAATCAGAGCTATTAGAACAATCAGTGTGGCTGAGGTAACGAATCAGAGCTATTAGAACAATCTGTGTGGCTGAGGTGAATCAGTGCTGTTTGAACAGTGTGGCTCAGATAATAAATCATAACACTTACTACTATAGTTGGCCTAGATAATGAGTCTGTATCTTTTCTAGGCAGGACTGGTGTGTAAGCTGAACACGAGGTGTACAGTGTTGGCCGCTACTAACCCCAAGGGACAGTATGACCCGACACAACCTCTGACTGTCAACATTGCCATAGCCAGTCCTCTGCTTAGTCGCTTTGACCTGGTGCTTGTACTGCTCGATTGTCGTAATCCAGATTGGGACAGGTATATATAGTGTTTTCTGTCAATATTTTTTACCACATTTCTAAATGGATTTTTGATTGTGATAGTGTACAATAATTATGTTACACTTTTGCACTTACAATGACCAAACTTTGGGATGGTGTTATTTAGATAGTTGCAGGCATTTTCAAAAACACAATTTTTACAAAGTTTTTTTAATACTTTGAGTCCTTAAGGGTAAAACGGTAAAAGTACCTAAAACGCACACTAAATTACACTAGGTAAACCTCAAAGATAACTGTATAGTCAATACAAGTAAGCAAAATAAATATAGTCACTAGATCTTTCATAAAATCATTTCTTGTTCCATCAGTGGATCTTATGTTACAGGATAGTGTCCGGTTTCATCCTGGAAGGGAAGGATCCAGCTTGTCTCAAGTCCAACTCCTTGTGGGCCTTGGAGAAGCTACAGGCCTACCTGAGTGTAATAAAAACTCTGCAGCCTCGTATGGGAGAAGGAGCCAACCGTATACTCAGCAGGTCTGACTACAATAATACCTTACTTCGGAGTAGGTAGTGCTTGATTCCTTAAAACATTCGCTCTGACAATTTTTTCATAGCTCTTAACGTGTACCACCCACAACATTCACACGTGTACACACAGTGATCCCTAAAACCCTGGTGTGCGCCCCGGTAGATACTGATAAGCCTTCAAAGTTGATTGTTCACGTTTTGACGTTTTGGAGTTTCTGTGAGTGGCATTGCTATGTAAGGCACATGAACAATATTCACAGGTGGTGCATGAATCTGAAAGTACTTGGCAAGTATGCCAAACCTAGTATGACCTTATTAATCGTGATCAGTAGATTTAAAGCAAATGTCCCCCGGAGCTGGATGGTTCGAAAATAACAAGCCCCCCTGTGAAATTCCGGCGACCTAGGCTTGTGTGAGCAGATAGGATGGTCCCTAGGCTCTGGCGGTCAAATCATCAACTAGCTAAGCTAGCCGTCTTCCAGGTTGTCTCTAGTAGTTGCTACTCAAGCAGATATCATTATAACCTAGTGATGCGCTTTTTTATGCAGTACTGTGCATGGCTATGAGTGGCGCACATTTACCAGTGGGTTATATCGAGACTGAACACATATAGACATGGCAAGGAATTTTAGGTTACACTTTTCCTTAAAGTTCAATGTCTAACGTAAAATAGATTTAACATCTATATCTAACTATATAATTATATTAGCGCAGCACATAGAAAAATCTCCATTGAGTTCCTTAGTAAAAAACCTTTCCAGTAAAAGTATTTAAAAATATATATTTTCAAGTGATCCTTGATAAAGAACTAAAAACTTGCATTGACAATTATATTATTATTCCAGATATTACCAGGAGCAAAGACGGATGGCAGCCCGCAATACAGCTCGCACCACTGTACGACTGTTGGAAAGTCTAGTGAGGTAAGAATAAAAAATAAATAAATTTTACATAACTTCTTATAGATGTGTCAAAACAAAAGTTCTTGTGTATCTAATCCGCTGGACTTTGATTGATTAGTTTATATCGAAAATCAAGATCGAATTCATTGCAATCTTTCAATTGAGACACTTGATCACTCACTGTACGTATAATCAAAACAGATATAATTTTTTTTAGAAAGAAAGAAATTTTAGGCTGCAAATATTCATCTACAAATTTGGCGTTCAAATGTAAAGGGTGGCAGTAAAGTTAATGAGAAATATCAATCTGATGAAGGTTTGTAAATTAAGGTTGGGAAAGTGACCTTAATATGTCACTTAGTAGTGCCTCAAAGCTTAGAAATTGAGTAACTAGGCCTATTCAGTTTGACTTTTTGGACCTCATAACCCCAACGTCACTCATGAGGTCGAAAACGTAAATGAGTAAGGATCTGATACTTGGATGAGAACATAACAGCTGCAAAACTTTTGTAGTTAGTGTAATCATGCAGCACAAGATTGATTGATTGAATCTCAGTGAAAATAAACTTTTAAATCCTATTTCATCAAGAAGCTGTTCCGTTATAAACTGATGTTATTTCTTGGCAGACTATCCCAGGCTCACGCCAAGCTGATGTTCCGCTCAGAAGTGACCGTGTTGGATGCAGTAGTCACTGTGGCTCTGATGGAATCAAGTATGCAGAGTACGGCTCTGATCAGTGAAATAAACATTCTACACACCAGCTTCCCGTCAGATCCAATAGACGAGTACTCTCACCAAGGTACGTTGTGTGTAAAAACATTACGTCTTAAGCTAAACTTTTCTTCATGTGCAGGCTTCTGCGGCTGGTGTTATAAGAATTGATGGCTGTTTTCAGCATCAAACACATCGCCAAACTACAACTGAGGATGTAGTTGATGCTTAAAACTACCATGTTCTCTAGGAAACTTTTGTAATAGCCGGCTTACCGAATGAGAAAGAGTACCTGCTGGATTTAGAAACAAAAACTGTATACACAATTTTTGTAAAGTTTTTGTTTTTCTTGTGCCAAGACCTCATTTATGGTTCAGATACACCTGCCATCCTAACAATTATCCCCAAAAAATTGGTCATTGCCCTATGTTTTACTGCAGATCAAGTCATCAAGTTTCTTTTACCTGTTTAAAAATTATAGCCTGTATACTGTGTAAGGTTTGAGAATGGCTGTTCTTATTGTTGTCTTTTTGTGTCATACATATTCTTTAGTCACACTTGTGATGATTATGAAGCCAATTTATTGTGAGGTTGTTGGATATAAAGTTCAAGGATTAAAACAACCAATACATACATGATTTATTTTTTTGACATTGGAAATATACAGTATTTCTACGCTTATTTATCCTCACTGCACTTTTAGTGCTAAAGAGTCATCTTTATGTTTAGTTATACCTCCCAAGTATTGTCTTGTGCCATTTTATGTTAAGTTTTACTATTTTATACTTTTATTTCTTACATTTTTGTTTTTTCAGCCGAACTAATCTTGAATAAGCTACAGCTTTACGATCTATTGGAGGCAGAAAGAGTTTTAATACAAGAAATGAGAAAAAGCAGTAAAACACCTCTACATAAAACCAAAGGAAAAGATGTTAAATTGCATTTTAAAACCATGAAAGAAAATAGTCAATTGTCAGAAAATGAAGACCTGAATGAAGTTTTGAATCCTGAAACAAAAGTAACATTGTTCGAAAAGTCAAGCTCAAACGTCCACAATGATGTTGAGAAACTGGTGTTTCCAACTTCATCAAAGGTTTCTGAAAAACTCAGTGAAGTCCTTGCAAGCATAAGACGAGCAAGAGAAAGAAATGCATTTGAAGCAACTCAGCATGTAAATTTGAAAGCAGGTAAAAAGGCGTTACAAAAAAATAAGCGTAAGCAAAAAGAAGTCTCAAAAAGTAAAAGTAAAACAGAAGAAGCTGATAGCAGCGACTCAGACCCATTAGATTCAAATTTCTTGGACATAACAATTTCGCCCATTAAGGATACTAAAAATAGTAAAAAGAAAAGTAAAAGTAATAACTCTGAATCAAAAGCAAACAAAAAGAAAGTAATGAAAACTCCTGCTAAGTCTAGCTGTGGTATGAAAACAAGTTCATCAAATTCCAAGTCTAAAGTTACTAATAAATCGATCAAAGAAATTTCTAAAATGAATAAAATACCAAACCAAACGGCCTTCAACATAGAATCTGCTGCACAATCTGATTCTGAGTCAGATAATGATGTTTTTGATTTAGTTGACAATATCAAAGTACAAAGTAGTGAAGGAAATGGAACGTCCGCTTTAAATGATACTTCAAAAGACAGTTTACCCACAGGGAGTCGTAGCTCTAATAATATATCTTATCATGAAAAAGCTATGGTAGACAAAACAGAAAATACATTAGTAATGAGCAATAACAGTGAAAAGAACGAAGAAACGGATTTATCAAAAGCTCAGTCAAAACAAATTGTAGTTGAACACAAAAAAGGCGAAGAAAAAGAAAAACACAAAAGCAAAATATGTAAAAGGCAATCTCATGAGAAAAGTATCTTAGATCCTAAATTTGACGAGATATGTGCGAACGGAGCAAGTAAAAACAACATTAGAGACAAACTAGATGTTTTTTTGAAAAGAAAATTTGAGTTCAAACCTTCAAGTAATGGCAAAAAATTCAAACATGATGTTGAATCGGATGGAATCAGCACAGATCCAACTAATTCCGATTGTATTGATGCGGAAAAAATATCTGCGTTAACTCCTGATAGAAAAAAAGAAAATAATATCACTAGCAGCATTAATTCAAAACCTCAAATATCTCCAATTAGAACTGAAAATGTCAAAGTAAGTGTCAAAACTCTTAGTAAATTGTCCATGTTTTCAGCCAAAAGAGATTCAAACACCGCAAAAACTCCTGTGAAATCTCCAACACCAAAAGGTGAAGGAGATAAGTTAAGCTTGGATGAAAAAGAAAGCGAAAGTGATCACGATTTTAATATTACAACTTACTGTGACTTGGAAATCAGTAAAAGCTGTGAAAGTGAACCTGTTGAAGACAGCGAGGATAAAGCTGAAGTGTCCGTAAAATGTTCCCAGCAAAATTCAGTACCACTGAGTGATTACTCGCAACCGTTTTCATTGCAAGAGGGAGATGAAAATTTAGACAATATTGATTTTGACTTGTAGTTCATAGTCTGTACATTACTACAGTTTCATGTAATCTTCATTGATTAGTTTCTACAGCCACACTTTGTAGTCAGGGTCTTTAAACGATAAACAAGTAACAACAGTTTGATCATTACTACACTTACTTTTTGTCACAGTGATTTGACTTCTTGCAGTGGAATTAAGTTAAATTTTAAAGTGAAATATAAAGTATAAAGTCAAAAGTGAAAGTGAAGTTCACATTAGAATAGAGTTCTAGAAACAGAGTGAAATAGTGATCCTGTTGCTACTCGGTTGTCGTTTGACGCCAATGGCTCTACAATTTTATGTAAAAAGAATATTGTTAGAGTACCTTTATTTCCTTTGCAAGTGTTAAATATTAATTTATTTGTGCTCAATGGATTATTTTGTTTTATAATGCAATTGATTTTATAACTTAAACAATCTCCATTCAATAACTTTAGTTGGCTAAGGGGAAGGTGCTATGTTTATATTGTTTCTTATTTCTTATTAATTGTATATACTTTCTTAATAATCTACCCTCAGTATGTATTCGTGTTACTTATTTTAACACATTTGCTATACAATCATTTTTACAAACTAATTGCAATCATTCTTGTTTCTGTAGTAAAAAACAAGTTTTCAGCATCTATTTTGTAAGCTGTCTATTTTTCCGTAGTATCTTCTTTCATAATACATAGCTTATGTTATATTAATGTATAAAATAAAAATTATTATAGTTTTGTCTAAAACCTGAAAAAATTATCAGTAACTTTTCTTCTTTATTTCTGTACTTATACCTTATTCATAAAAATAATACTTACTTACTTGTTAAAATTCCTTGTAAATAAAATATATCTTTCTTTAGTTACTTCAGTGTACTATAATTGATTTCCATTGTTACTTTCAATGCTGTTCAGGTCATAAAAAGATATGAATGTCAGAAATGGGGGAGCCCTAGCTTATGTCACATACCTATTTGGTGACTTGTAGTGGTGGGAATCACCGAATGAAAATAACCGAATCAATCGATTATTGATGCTGAATAGACTAATTCGGTTATTTTATCCTGGTTCGGTTAAATTAGTCTTACCGAGCGATTCGGTGATTTAGTTTGTCACATCATCAGGAAACTAAAATTGATTCGGCGATTCATTCAACTAAAAATAACCGATTGACGCAAAAAATAAAACAATCCCAGGTCTGTGCTGTGTCCAATTAAGTAGAGGTGTTTTTTAGTGTAGTCTGATCCATTCAGGAGTCTAGCAATACAGGACAGGCTAGCCACCTGTGTCATAAAAGCAGTTTCCCACCTATCCTTAATGGGATGTGTACCATTTTGTTCAGAATCTAAAAGACTATATCATACCTACTAAATTTTTATCAAAATTGTTCGGGCTATTTTCGAAAAAATTGATTTTTCCGTTATTTTATGCAAATTTAAAAAAATTTAAAAAATGCCTGGAGATACCATGGATTAGTACCTACCACGATTACTAGGTATCTACATACCAAATTTAATCAAAATTGGACTACAGGTGTGGCCTGTAGCGCTGTACACATACAGACACGCACAGAGTAAATGGTACAGTACATGACACCATTGAGTATGCACGTACTCAACCAACGCACATACGCATACGATACAACATACTCAATGATGGCACACACGTTGAGTAAAAAAAGTAAACTTTTCGGTGAGCAGTTTCCACTGCCACTATACGATCTTGTATGATACGTCAAATACCTCAGTAACAAAAAAAAGGTAGGACATAAAGTTTCAGACACTTACTTGCGCAATCTGTGACGGGATACATAACACTATGTCCGAAGTCAATGTTAATATCATAGATTAAACAAACTTACTCCCTTAGCTCACGGCCACCTTTTAAGGTGGCTATTGCTATGATTAGCTTCGGCAACGAACAATCTATGTTGCCATTTTCAGACAGGCTGATGAAGACTGAAGCATCAAGACGACGGACTGCGTTGATAGGCGTTGCAGTGTTGTTGCAGTCGCTTCACTCACTTCCCACTCCCACAACTATAATTCATAGCTTCTATTATAGCTGCCATCGGGTATTTCTTTCCTATTTTTATTTTCTTCTTGTCCCGTAGGTTTTATTGTGTGTATGGTGTATGATACAAATGTATTACATTAAATAATGCAATAGGTATACCTAAAGGGTGATTTTTTTATTGGTACGGTTTTTAAAACTAAATACAAAAATGAAAAACAACCTGCATTGATATAAAAATGCATTTATTTGAACTACAGTGTCATGACATTAACGTTTAAAAATGATTTCTGGCATATGGGCTCCATTCCGTTCGCGTAGAAAGCTCAATCGAAAAATCCAATTTTCAAATACTCTTTCCAGCAGCTGTGGTTGAATTTTGCCAATAACTCGACGAATGTTAGCTTCCAAGTCATTTAAAGTTTGTGGCTTGTCAGCGTATACTTGAGACTTAACATATCCCCACAGTCTGTTGGCGTGATGAACACGACCGTGGGGGCCAGTTGACACTACATCTAAATGATTACGTTCACCAAATGTTTCTGCTAAGAGGCCAATTGTGTCGTTTGCCGTGTGGCACGTCACGCCGTCTTGTTAGAACCAGACATTTTCTAAATCCACTTCAAGTTCGTTTAGCTGAGGAACGAAAAAGTCCTGTAACATTGCCCGATAGCGTTGAAACTTTAAATGACTTTGAAGCTAACATTCCTCGAGTTATTGGCGGAATTCAACCACAGCTGCTGGAAAGAGTATTCGAAAATTGGACTTCTCGATTGGGCTTTCTACGCGAACGGAATGGAGCCCAAATGCCAGAAATCATTTTTAAAGGTTAATGTCATGACACTGTAGTTCAAATAAATGCATTTTTATGTCAATGCAGGTTGTTTTTCATTTTTTATTTAGTTTTAAAAACCGCACCGATAAAAAAATCACCCTATATTTTGAAGAGCTTATAAAATACTTTATTAACAATATGGTCTAATAGCCATATGGAAAATGTTTACTTTTGTAGGTTTTTTTTTATAAAACGTTTTTATAAAACTAAAACAAAAACATACAAAAAAACATTTTCATATGATATTTCCCCGTGAGATTAGCTACACATTTATAAAACTGCATCCTTTATTTGCGAAGTTGATTTGCATGATTTCTTAAGCACATATCCTCCGGCTATTTGCCAAATAATATATGGTCTAATAGCCATATGGAAATGTTTACTTTTGTATGTTTTTGTGTTAGTTATCTAGTTGTGTTTTTTCGTTTATTTTTTTTAATTTGACTTATTTTGAGATATGTCATTTATTATATTAAAGCGAGGTTGTAAGCCTAAGTGTTAAGGATGAAAATTTTAAAAAACTGTAAATTTAAAATTTCTATGTTATTCTTATGGATAATATTAAAAACTGTGTTGTAGTTTGCTTATTTAGAGATGAATTTTGATCAAATTTGTTTATTTTTACCAAGCAAAAAATATTTGAGTAAAAAACACGCTTTTTTTGTTTCCTATTAATTTAGGATACAGAAGAATAAAATATTCATGTACAGTAGACTCCCTTTTATCCAGACTTCTAGGGACAGAGGCAAGTACGGAAAACAATTTCTCCGGTAAAATTATGTCCCCTAAAACTCAATAAGTTAGGAACATCAAATGCATACCAACCTAAATATTTGGGAAAGCATTTTATTTAGACAGTGATCACTGGTCTCAAATCTTTTCCACGAGAAGTCATTTTAGTACCTGCTACTTCCTTCCAGTCCCGTCTGGTTAAACCGAAAAGCTGATAAGAATTATCCGTTGAAGAGATGTCGCTTCAGCCAAATATAGTCTGGTTAAATCGGTGCCCAATTCTGGTCCCTCCGTTTAAGAGGGAGTCTATTCATATAGTGTATAAGGCCGGGCTGCAGTTGTATTTTAATGCGTAACAAATGAGAAAACGTGTTTAATTTCTCTTATAACAATGTTTTTTAATACCGGTGCTGTTGGAATGGCAATTTATAACAAAACTTCCAATTAATTGAAGGACAACAAAATACAATTCAAAAATATTAAATAAAATAAAGAATCTGTTATATCATACTGCTACAGCAATAAATGCATAAAGTAAGTTGTAAGTATAAAATTCCATTTGTTAATTAAACATATTACTTAGTTTTACAAAAAAACCTAACTCGCTAAAAGGATTGCTGTTTAATTACAAATTTAATTCAAACGTCTGACATGTTAACCCCTTCAGCTTCAGAATTGATATCCAAGTAATTAAATCTGTGACATTTGTTGTACCCTACAAAGCTTTGATGTTTTCTTTTGACAACCATGCTGCTGGAAATAGCATTTTGTATAAGGAAAGTATCACAGAAACCTTTTCTATTGTGAACTTCATTTTGTTTATCAATTTTAATTTGGGGCATATGGATGGTTGTTTATGGATATATCTTAATCAAATTTGACAATTTTGTTTATTTCATTATAAGCTATCAACATTTCAATTAAAAAACACACCTTAATACCTTCCCTGTAGCAGCAAACCTAAGTACTCATTAAAAATTATGTTATTTAAATGAATTTTAATTGAATATTTTAGTAGAAATACAGCGAGGTAAATAGAAATTAGCATACTCTGCAGGTTTGCTGTGGCGGGGCAATTTTTTTTTATTTGCACTTACATATTGAAAATATATTTGCATAATAACTCAATTGGCTGGACTTTTGAAGGCTGTAAAATAAGCCTGGCTATCAATGTAATTCAAATTTTTAAGACGGTGCACACTTTGGAGCAAATGTTAAGCTTGATAAGAATACAAGAGTGTAGAATGGAATGAGCTATTCTTAGTAAATAACAAAGCTACACTAGATCCAGGGCTGCTTTTATAAATGGGCCCAAGAGGTTTTAGGTTTTGTTGGGGGCGCAAGGGGAAAATTTTACCACAAGGCAGGTCTCAGCAATTATCTCTAGGACCCGTAGCACATCAATAGTGTTAATCTTCACTCACCTTCTGTCAGTGTTACCAACACAGAGTCGTTTGTACTTGGCCCAACTAGCTGTTAAATATTTGTAAGTTTTTTGGCCTCATCTCCATACTAACCCTAATGACAACCTTAACTTCAATTCAAGTAGGCCTAATTTGACTTTTTAGGACCTAAGGATGTAATTGAGTACAAAACAACTGTATAGTCATTGTGACTACAAAGGATTTCTCAATCATACGAAGGATATCATGCTCTGGATTCATTTTGCCTCGGAAACAAGTTTTGGGCCCTGTGCAATTTGCGAATTGGTCCTCTTGTATTTAACTTATCTCATCAGAAACTTTACAAAAATCTGTTTTCTTCGTGTAATTTTGAGTCTACATACATGCATACACTAACTTATAAGTTGAAAACCAAAGTTGTACGTTTGTATTTCCTAACATGAACTAATTGAAGCTAATAAAAAAAAACAGTAATTTATGGTTTTACAAAAACTTGTTTTACTTTATAACAATAACTTTCCTGTGAGAATTGCTATTTAAACTTGTGTAGGGAAAGTTTGGAAATAAGGCTTGAAGAGCTTAAATTTTAAGTTTTAACCAGTGATATTAAAATCTTCAAGGGCACTTGCAGCAGTTTTCTTTCTCAGCCGCTGCTTGATGTTGCTATTTATCTTTCCAACCAATTTTGCGCTTGTGCAATCATTAAATCTTATTAGGTGGTTGAGAAAAGCGCTTGATTGTGAATTTTTAAAAGTTTGCAGTTTGTATTTTCATACATATTTTTATAGGAACTAAATTACCTGTGTTTCAACTATGATTTAACAAGAAAGAACATTTTTTTAAAGTTTTTTCAAATATATTTAACTTATTTGTTTAAAATAATTTAAAACATTACCAGACGTTTAGTAAAAGTTCTCTATTGTTGTTTCTAGCTTACTTTTTAAAACAATAATCTTAAGCATTAGCCAATTTGGAAACTAATGTTTATATCTTGAACACTAACATGTTGATGATGGTTCAAAGTGTTAGATATTAACAGCAATAGAAAAGATCATTACGAAGCTCTGCAAATTAACTACCAACTTACAGAGTTTCCAATTACCTAAGTTCCAAACCCCAATAATTTCAGGAACAGTAGAATCTAAAAGGTAAACCAAAAGTAATTTTGAAAGAGTAGCTACTCAATTGGCTATAAAAGGAGTCTTAAACCTACTTACCTTTAATGGATGCTGTTATTACGGCTTCCGAGCCTTTCATTTAACAAATAAATTACATTACAGATAGTTATACTATTCTTGTTACATAAACTTGAAACAGCCATCATGGGTTTTTAAATTACCGTACCCCCACATGAAATGTTTCAATTCCTCTAACAGCTGAAGTATATTTTTTATAATTTGTGCTCATTGTTGTGTATTAATTCATTATTATTGTTTGTTATTGTTTATGTTTAAGTTATGTGGGTTGAATTTCTTGAAAATAAAATGGACTTAACTAGAAAACTGTGTGATACAACTTTATTACTAGTCTTTTAAGCTATAAATGGTACATTTAACATTAGCCTTTGAATTTCAGAAATAAATATTTATCTTAGTTAGGCCTACTATTAA